TAGGAATTGTCTTGTTTGTACGAAAACATTCTAACAGATACATGTTCGCATTGATTCTACAATGGTATTTAAATTCTCTATAAAATTTAGGCTAGTTGCTGCAGTATTGTGATGATAATGATATTTCGACAGAGAAAAATCATATTGCTAAATAACAGGGAAAGAATGTCTGAAAGTAGAGAGAAAAAACTTACTGTGGTAATGAGAAAGAAAGAATTTCTACTGATTGGCAAAAATTGTTGCCATGGTAATGACATTGAATGTTACTGAATACATTGGTATGACATTAAATGTTACTGAATACATTGGTATGACATTAAATGTTACTGAATACATTGGTATGACATTAAATGTTACTGAATACATTGGTATGACATTAAATGTTACTGAATACATTGGTATGACATTAAATGTTACTGAATACATTGGTATGACATTAAATGTTACTGAATACATTGGTATGACATTAAATGTTACAGAATACATTGGTATGACATTAAATGTTACTGAATACATTGGTATGACATTGTTACTGAATACATTGGTATGACATTGTTACTGAATACATTGGTATGACAATGTTACTGAATACATCGGTATGACAATGTTACTGAATACATCTGTATGACATTGTTACTGAATACATCGGTATGACATTAAATGTTACTGAATACATTGGTATGACATTGTTACTGAATACATTGGCATGACATTGGTATGACATTGTTACTGAACACATCGGTATGACAATGTTACTGAATACATCGGTATGACAATGTTACTGAATACATCTGTATGACAATGTTACTGAATACATTGGTATGACATTGGTATGACATTGTTACTGAATACATTGGTATGACATTGTTACTGAATACATCGGTATGACAATGTTACTGAATACATCTGTATGGCAATGTTACTGAATACATTGGTATGACATTGTTACTGAATACATTGATATGACATTGGTATGACATTGTTACTGAATACATTGGTATGACATTGTTACTGAATATATTGGTATGAGAGAAGTGCAATATTGCAGACAGGTGGCCATCTTGGATTTTGACTTTGGAAGTTTGTTATCACTACTTTTTGAGAAATGCTGCATAGATATTTCTCAAACTTTATGTATTGATTCCTCTTTGTCTGCAGTTGTTCCTGTTTGAGTTTGGGACTGATCGGAAAAACAAAATGGCCAACAGGCAGTCATCTTGGACTTTGCGTTTTAAAGATTGTTATCCCTATTTCTTAAGAAGTACTGATTGGATCGCATTCAAATTCAATCATATATTCTTTTTGCTCGTTTGATTTTGGGACTTATCAGAAAAAACAAAATTACTTCCAGGCAACAGAAAAAACAAAATTACTTCCTGGCAGCCATCTTTGATTTGGCAGGTAAAGATTATCATCACTATTTCTGCAAAGGAATGTTCAGATTTCTTATCATTAAGAGCAAAAATAGAGAAGAGAAAAGAAAGGAAAAGATCTAATTTTCAAGCAGCAAATAAAGATCAGTTGATGGTGGGTGCCAAGATCCCTCTGGGATCTCTCGATATAATAGGAAATTGTTACATAATCAATATTCTGTGATTGAAATTGGTGTTTCTCTGGGTAAACACACACAGGCATGTGTAAGGAAAGCTCTTAGCTGTTCTTTACACAAGGAATCATACACTTTGTCATGACAGATAAGGCTAACAAAAATCAACATTATCGCATAACTGGCCTGTTCTACCATGTATTTACCACTGTCATGGATACAACTGGCCTGTTCTACCATGTATTTACCACTGTCATGGATACAACTGGCCTGTTCTACCATGTATTTACCACTGTCATAGATACAACAGGTCTGTTCTACCATGTATTTACCACTGTCATAGATACAACTGGTCTGTTCTACCATGTATTTACCACTGTCATAGATACAACTGGTCTGTTCTACCATGTATTTACCACTGTCATAGATATGACTGGCCTGTTCTACCATGTATTTACCGCTGTCATAGATATGACTGGCCTGTTCTACCATGTATTTACCACTGTTATAGATATGACTGGCCTGTTCTACCAAGTATTTATGACTGTCATAGATACAACAGGCCTGTTCTACCATGTATTTACCGCTGTCATAGATACAACTGGTCTGTTCTACCATGTATTTACCACTGTCATAGATACACCTAGTCTGTTCTACCTTGTATTTACCACTGTCATAAATACAACTGGCCTGTCTTCCATGTATTTAGCACTGTCATATATATGACTGGCCTGTTCTACCATGTATTTACCACTGTCATAGATACACCTAATCTGTTCTTCCATGTGTTTACTACTGTCATAGATAAAACAGGTCTGTTCTACCATGTATTTACCACTGTCATAGATACAACTGGCCTGTTCTACCATGTATTTATCACTGTCATAGATACACCTGGCCTGTTCTACCATGTATTTACCACTGTCATAGATACACCAAGTCTGTTCTTCCATGTGTTTACCACTGTCATAGATACAACAGGTCTGTTCTACCATGTATTTACCACTGCCATAGATACAACTGGCCTGTTTTACCATGTATTTACCACTGTCATAGATACACCTAGTCTGTTCTACCATGTATTTACCACTGTCATAGATACACCTGGCCTGTTCTACCATGTATTTACCACTGTCATAGATACACCTAGTCTGTTCTTCCATGTGTTTACCACTGTTATAGATACAACAGGTCTGTTCTACCATGTATTTACCACTGTCATAGATACACCTGGCCTGTTCTACCATGTATTTACCACTGTCATAGATACATCTAGTCTGTTCTTCCATGTGTTTACCGCTGTCATAGATACAACAGGTCTGTTCTACCATGTATTTACCACTGTCATAGATACACCTAGTCTGTTCTTCTATGTGTTTACCACTGTCATAGATACAACAGGTCTGTTCTACCATGTATTTACCACTGTCATAGATACACCTGGCCTGTTCTACCATGTATTTACCACTGTCATAGATACATCTAGTCTGTTCTTCCATGTGTTTACCGCTGTCATAGATACAACAGGTCTGTTCTACCATGTATTTACCACTGTCATAGATATGACTGGCCTGTTCTACCATGTATTTACCACTGTCATAGATACAACTGGTCTGTTCTACCATGTATTTACCACTGTCATAGATATGACTGGCCTGTTCTACCATGTATTTACCGCTGTCATAGATATAACTAGCCTGTTCTACCATGTATTTACCACTGTCATAGATATGACTGGCCTGTTCTACCAAGTATTTACCACTGTCATAGATGCAACTGGTCTGTTCTACCATGTATTTACCACTCATAAATACATCTGGCCCCACTTGTATAAAACATCTCAACTTGAGGTTTCCTCAAGTCGAGATTTTCCTCAGCTAATATCTCCTTGAAAATATTTTGTATGGAAATTCCTCAAGGAATTTCAGGACATCCTAGCCGATGCCTTCCTCCTGTTCCTTGAGAAAATGTTATACAAGCCATTTTTGAGGAGATATCGGCTGAGGAAAATCTTGACTTGAGGAAATCTCAGGCCTGTTCTACCATGTATTTACGACTGTCATAGATACAACAGGCCTGTTCTACCATGTATTTACCGCTGTCATAGATACAACTGGTCTTACCACTGTCATAGATACACCTAGTCTGTTCTACCTTGTATTTACCACTGTCATAAATACAACTGGCCTGTCTTCCATGTATTTAGCACTGTCATATATATGACTGGCCTGTTCTACCATGTATTTACCACTGTCATAGATACATCTAGTCTGTTCTTCCATGTGTTTACCGCTGTCATAGATACAACAGGTCTGTTCTACCATGTATTTACCACTGTCATAGATACAACTGGCCTGTTCTACCATGTATTTACTGCTGTCATAGATACAACTGGCCTGTTCTACCATGTATTTACCACTGTCATAGATGCAACTGGTCAGTTCTACCATGTATTTACCACTCATAAATACATCTGGCCCCACTTGTATAAAACATCTCAACTTGAGGTTTCCTCAAGTCGAGATTTTCCTCAGCTAATATCTCCTTGAAAATATTTTGTATGGAAATTCCTCAAGGAATTTCAGGACATCCTAGCCGATGCCTTCCTCCTGTTCCTTGAGAAAATGTTATACAAGCCATTTTTGAGGAGATATCGGCTGAGGAAAATCTTGACTTGAGGAAATCTCAGGCCTGTTCTACCATGTATTTACGACTGTCATAGATACAACAGGCCTGTTCTACCATGTATTTACCACTGTCATAGATACACCTAGTCTGTTCTTCCATGTGTTTACCACTGTTATAGATACAACAGGTCTGTTCTACCATGTATTTACCACTGTCATAGATACACCTGGCCTGTTCTACCATGTATTTACCACTGTCATAGATACATCTAGTCTGTTCTTCCATGTGTTTACCGCTGTCATAGATACAACTGGCCTGTTCTACCATGTATTTACTGCTGTCATAGATACAACAGGCCTGTTCTACCATGTATTTCAGCTGTAAAATGGTCTAATTTGCTATCTTGGATTCTAAAAATAAAATTTTGTTTTGACTATTTTGTGAAGAACTACATGAATCATCTAGAAATTTCATATGTAAATTCCTCTTGGTCTCGAATTGTGCTGCTTGAGTTGTTTGACTAATCAGAAAAACGAAAAGGCTGCTCAGAAAAACGAAAAGGCTGCTAGAATCCACACTATCTTGTATTTATGCTTCTGAAAGTATGTCTTGATTTCAGAAAAGGAAGTACCCAAGAGAAGTGATCAAATATGCATATATAACCATTATAAAAGATCATATGATTGGTAGTTGCCAAGATCCTGATCTACGATTTCTTATTTCTAATGGCTAATTTTCCCTATACAAATACCATCTAATTCTTATGATGTTGCCCCCCAGATAAGCCATCTGATTGTCTCAATAATAATACTTTTTCCTTCCACAGGACGCTTGGGGGCTGTTTAGATGACAACTCACACTGCTACACCTTGGAGGTATCATTCTTCAGCTACCAGACAAGTCAGTCCAGCAGTTCTCTCCCCTACACAGAGGAGGGTTGTATCCTTACTGATACATAAAGTAAAATGGATCAAATGTCATGCACTACTTACTATATACAGGATATTTTCATCTCCGATCGTTTTCACCATTGCACCATTATATACCAATTCACCTCCTGTTCATTTTGCGCTGAAGATTATATAGACGGCTTATATAAGTGTAACAAATTCTTGCTTCCATCTGAAATTTGCCCTCCCCTGTTCATGAACGAAAACCTCAAAATTAAACAAGGGCAAAAATTCCTGGTATTCATTAACAATGATAGAAAGTTATTGGGTACATGTCAGTGACAGATGGTGTTGAATGGAGAAAAAGCATATTTGATTGCATGACATCAAACAAAGGTGAGATGGTAATGTGTTTGTCTCTTAGTAGTAGTCTTAATATGGAACTGTGAGAAATCATTAACATCTGTATTAATCTCTGATTTTTTTTTTTTTTTTTAAATTTTGATTATTTACTTTTTCTGGCATTGGTACTAAAATTGGGAAGTATCATGCTGAAAATGGAGAGGTATCTGTTGAAAATTTGAAAGTTTTGTCAGTGGAGATCCTTATATTCTGTCTGATTTGAGACCCTTGACCTGCATCAGATATGAAGTTAGGGCGTAATTTGGCTCGAACTTTCCTGGATTATTACAAACTTGTAAACTTCATCACAGCCAAGCCAAGCAGCAGCATTGTACCCAAACCTGGCCCCTATAGGATGCGAGACCGCCAACACGAACGATCACAAACAGACCCTCCAGTAGATTCGTGAGTAAACATTGATTTCTTCAAAGTGAAATGCAAACACTCTTGTAAGAATAAAACAAAGAATTTCACTTTTGACCTTTGAACAAATGTGATAAATTCACACTGAAGAGAACACAAACTTGAATCTTGAGTAAAAACTATAAAATGATAGAACACTTCTTGACATTTTCTCAAGACTTACATGGAACTGTCTCAGATTGCCTAAGGTAGGACAAAAACCTGTAATCTGTCTTCAGTTCAAACAAGGCAGGACAAAACTCAAAACCAGTTTCTCAGACTAGCCAATGGTAAGACAAATCCTGAAACCTGTATAGACTTGCTAAGGGCAGAACAGAACCCAAAACCTACCTTGAGACTAACTTAGGGAAGGACAAAACAAAATTCCTTTCTTAGATTCAGTTAAAGGCAGGACAAAACTAAAAACCTTTCATGGACTTTGTAGGAAACATCAGAACATTTCACATATTCACAATTCAATGTGCAGTTCAAAACTTAGACCCTATCTTTAGAACCTTTGCAAGGAGCATAACATAACATAGAGACTCTCCGAGGAGAATACTTACCAGAGACTTTGTAAAGCTATGACAGAACACAACCTATATCTAGAATATTTTTCAATTCTCATTTTAAACAACTTGTAAAAGACAGAACAAAATCTTGAAAATTTGTACACTCACATATGACAACACAATCTAGGAACCTGTTTTAAACCCAAAAAGGTAGAGCACAACTCTTGCTTGACTCGAGACTGAAGTCTGATACTTGACCCTCAGTAAAGAGCTCTGTCTATAATCTGGAACTCCGTCACTTTACCTAATAAGGTTTCAGGCTGATAAATATCCCCTATGCAAATATTCTCATTCATCCTCACAAACTAGTTTCATATCAGACCCCTATGGTGGCATAATTGTGTTGGAGATGTGTTTTTTTTTTGTAATAAATTGAAAAGGTAAAGAAAAATCATGTGTGTGATGAAGGTAGTCTATGATATGATAATGGGGAATTAGTGGTGGGTTTCCATGTACTTCTACAATAAACCTGGGAGAACCTTTAAGCTGGCAGACTTATGCAGAAAACTTGGACTACTGTGAAAATGTTTATACATATGGTTTATATGTTATAATTACAGATATGAGGACAGAAGACGATCGTACAACAGACATAGTGATTTCGGTATCAACAGTTGTAATGGGTTCGGTGACCCTCCCACTTCTATACGGCTCCAACTGAGGGACAGAGATGTGAGGAAATATTGATGTCCAAGCTTTTAGTCCTCCAGTAGATATTTAAGACACAATCATTTAAATTTACCATGGCTTGTGATAGCCTAAAGAGTTTCTCCAGGTGCAACCTCCAGTCATTTGACTGATAATAACTCATATTTATGGAAATCGAATTGAGTGGGTTACAAAACAGAATGATTGGCAACATTGGAGCTGTTATTAACCATTCACAATATCATACAAATGGCCTGGAGTATTAGGCATTGGAACTAAGCAAACAAAACTGTCTGTGCATGGAACGATCTGTTATTCCTGAAGGACTGAAACAGCGAGGAATTTATCTAGAAGTTATTTTTAGCATGAAATGTTTGATATTGATCATAAAACCATTTATCCAAGGAACATAGAATATAATGAGTTAATCAAAACTGACTAGAACATGTCCTGATATTAGGGTAATTGGTAAGCTGTCAATTTGGTACTAAGTTCAGAGTAATATTGCTGGGAATCAGTCCAACCTTGTAAGGCCTTGTATACATTTTAGTACATAGCATAAAATGTACATGTGTTGTTCCTCTGCCTACCACAGGGACTAGTTAAAATATTTTACTTCATGTCGACCACAGGGACCAGATAAAATATTTCACTTCATATCCACCACAGGGACCTGATAAAATATTTTACTTCATATCTACCACAGGGACCAGATAAAATATTTAACTCCATATCTACCACAGGGACCATTTAAAATATTTTACTCCATATCTCCAACAGGGACCTGATAAAATATTTCACTTCATATCTACTACAGCGACTAAACATATCATTTCACTCCTCACTCCCCATCTACTAAAGGGACACCCCCCCCCCCCCCTCAAAAAAGAAAGAAATGGAATAAAATTTAATCCAAACCTACCAAAGGGATCAAATAAAATCCTTTTATTTTATATATGATAAAGATATTACCAGCATCATGCCATTTTGATAATGTCCCCTTACATAAACTGGTGTGTTTACTTTGGTATATCTAGTACTTTGTGAAAAACTTGGTCAGTATTTTGAAACTAAGTTAAAACACTGCTGCAGCTGTTCTCATTGATTGATGTTATTCTGATCAATATCCACACTTGATAAGACAAGTCTTGAAAGTGATACTTATTGACTGGTATTGGGAATCTTCAGGCAGAAGATTTATCGTAATGATATAGGAGTAGATTTGAAAGTGACAGAGTAGTTTTAGTACAAAGAGTAATCAGAAAGGAGTTGTGTGTGATAGATTAGAGCACCGACAACATAAATAGAAAATGGATTGGTGTGTGAGTGTGTTATATCTGTACTGGTATTATACATTAGTACACATTTACTGATGTAGGTGTGGATTATATATATATTTAATATAGATATGTTGTCTTTTCTTTGTTAATGACAAAGTAAAACTCTGATTCTAGCTTGTTGATAATTCCTAAAACAAAACTTTCATTATCAATATTTAGTATGGACTAGAATTTACAGCAATTTTTGATACCCCAAAACAAAGTGGGAATCATTCCTGCCAACTATCCCTTTGATTTTGTTCTCATGATTACTGGCATGTTTGTCACTTTTGCTGATACTAAGGTTAATACAGAGTTATTGCCCTTCTTGTATTTCATTGCATGAAATGTTTGGAGATACATTCATTATTTTTTTTATGATATCCATATAATTGTATTTGTAGCCTTTTGTGTACAAAGTGAATAGTTGAGGAAATAAACCATTGTAAAGAGTATGAATCAAATACATTTATGGTGTATTGATCTGAAATAACCATAAAAACTATGAATTATTATACACAAACATTGAACATGAGATAGTATGTGTCTTTATGGATGGTTTACTAATGAAATCCAACAGATAATGTCTGGATGGTAAAAATTGAAGTGAAGTTGGAGTTTCTGCCTTGTCAAAAAGTAGCTTTAGCTCAGATATGTTGATGTTCACATTGTCATTTGGTCCCGTTATCCATGTTGGGTAAAAATTCCCTGTCATACAATGTTAATAATTTGGCACTTACAGTAATTCTGATTTCATCTATTTCTTTCTTCTTTCTGAAGGGCACTATAAAGAAATTTCCATAATAAAGTTACAGAAAGCCCATAATACAGTTTTTCAAGCCCATCATATTAAATTGTGTGTTCAAATTTTTCAAATTGTTCAAATTGCCTCATATGTGGCAGGCAGCCATCTTGTATTTTAACGATTAAAGATTGTTATCACTATTTCATAATAGTACTGGATGAATCTTTCTCAAATTTCATATGTAGGTTCCCTTTTGTCCCTAGTTTTGCCTTTTTGATTTTGGTACTGATCAGAAAAGCAAAATGGCTGATATGTGGCCATCTTGGATTTTGACAATGAAAGTTTGTTATTACTTTTTCTTGAGAAGAACAGAATGGATCTTTCTCAAATATCACAAGTAGGTTTCCCTTAGTCACGCAGAGAAAAGAAAAGGGAAAATTCTAACAGATAAAGATCAAACAATTGTAGATGCAGAGGGATTCTTAACAAAAAAAAAAAAAAATCAATCAAAGCTGAAGTTTATCCATTTTGAATACCAAAATTATGAAACAAAGGGGAAACGACAGAATGTGGAGGTTTTACACTGGTAACTCCATACCTTTCCACCTTTACAACAAACTAGTGTGCTGTATATATATTGTGTAATAAATTAGAAACTGTATGTAATATCTGAAAACTAATTAACAAGTCATTGTTAAATGAAAGCCACTTTCCTTTGTTCATAGAACATATTTTTCATTTGATGCACATCTGTTTGAGAACATCTCCAGATATTAGCATTTGTATAAAAAATATGTCTCTCAAAAGCAAGTTGTTGAGTGAAGTTTTAGTAACACATTAATAGTCTTTCATTCTACGCTAATGAGGTTATGTTCTGAGAGGACTGAATTACTGAAAAAAAAATGATCAGAAAAAAATGGACAATCTGTCTCCAAGACACTACGATAGACCTAGCTTTGTTGGTGTTCAATTCGGAAGAGGCCCCTATGTGAATTTAACTCCACAAAGATTTTTTCTCAGGGGCATAATTCCTTTAGGAATTATAAAAAAAAAACCAGCATCTAGGTGCTAGGCATTTACTGCATCTGGAATTTAAGCTTGCATTTTTAAAGTAATTTTTGTTTCTTCTAAATTTTTAAAAATATCATAAATATGACTTAAAGGTTTTTTGCAAAGGGTATTGTAAAAGGAATCATTCCGTGTATATCAACAGTGTCAGTATTTGTAGTATGGTACAAATGTACATGTAATTCTCATTAAATGTACATGAAATTCTCATTATATTAATGAGACATTTACTGTCATTTTGCTTTGACAACTGTCCATCTTTATTTTTTAAACAAAATACACATTCCATTAAAATGTAAAATATGTTAAACATTTGCAGGATAATCTACAATATTTTATTTTTCTATGCTTACTTCCGTCCACATGTTTTGTGATACACTATTTTACAACCATGTACATGTTACCATATTGAATGTGATAACCAAAGTAAAGTTTATTGAGATTGTTGTCGTCATTTTTACAGGACAAGTACTAGACTTTAAGTTTAATGTCACATGGCTGTGGAATGCCTCTAGCTGTCTTAATTTGGTTTCTGCTCATTCACTCCTTTTACAGAGGGAGATATTGAACTAAAATGTGGTGTGTAATTGATTAATGAGAAGATGCAGGTCAAATTCTTATTTAGTTGCAATCAACTCATTTTTATTTTGGTACGGCACTTTTAGAAAATTTCAAGAAAATTCCCCTCATTTACTCAATAGTGGATGGAGACATTGAGTATGGTGTTTGGATCAATGCAGTTTGGATATCTGTATTGGTCAACAACTATCACAGTCTGAAAAGTCACACTTATAAACCTTGTACAATACCAGTTGTGCTTAAAAAGTACCATTTTTCTCCTTGTAGGGGCATTCAAGCCACAGTGACAATCTTGCTTCCAGAATTATTTGGTTTTGATTAATAAAGATAAGTGCATTTATTGGGTCAAATAATTTGGACCTGAAATCAAGACTTTGAATTCATCCCAGTTTACTCAGAATTTCGATAAAAACATAGTTAAAAGTCTATAACACTTTTGAGTTATATAGATACTGTAAAATGTATTTGGTTGGAGAACCCCAGACTGTTATAGTGGATTGCTGAACCAGAAATAAAATAGACATAAAAGGATATCTGTTACTGAGTAAATTACAAGATCCCAGGTGAGAGCTTATATTTGATGTTGGCATTGCTATATTGTTTATCTTAGTTGAACATTTATTCATTATATATAAAAGTTTGGTATTATCAAACACAATCTTTTTGTGATACTAAATGTGATATTTTTTTACAGCATTACAAGTACAGACTGTTGCTGTACAACATGTTAATAACTTATTTTTGTCAGTCTCACCCAAGTAAAAAGATATTTTGAAGACCATACCAATGCTTTTCTTGTTGAAGTTGTTAGTCGAGATTAGTTTACATTCACACATGTATGCATTTATAACAGCATTTATAACAGACCACCAACAGCTGACTGGAACACTTGTTGGGATTGATCTGTTCACCAAAATACTAATGACACATTTGTTCTGGTGATTGGAATAATGAGATTCAATTTATCAGAAAATCCCTTTTTGGAAGTAATATTATCACCTTAATTTAAAGTGATTTATTAGTGTTGTAAGAAGACCACTTTTATCAGAATAACATGACAATATCAGAGATATATTCCTCTATTAAAGCATTGTCTAGAATGGAATTTTTTAACATCAAACAACACAGCTGTTTCATTACTGACCCAAGCACTAACTACTTCATTACCAATCTTGATACATACATTAAGATGTACATTAGATACCCGTTGGTGAAGTTTAGAAGGTAACATATGTGACATACTGTATATCAGTATGGACTTTTGACCTTGGACATATATACAGATGTATGTTTTACACGACTTTCCTAATACACAAAACATATTTTACCACAGATTTTTTAGTTCCAGCAGTTATCGTTAGGGACATTTATTGCCTGTATTATCTTAACTGGTGTTGATGATGGCTGTGGAATATGTGACCATCTTTTATGACAGATGAAAATGACAGTATCTATGAGATATTCAGTGATTAAAAAAGTTACGGTCCAGAAAGCACTAGTTACGTGACCTATTCAGGTAAATGAAAAAGGTATTATATACTGCACAAATCTGTCCAGGTCTTGTTTTCTATTTAATTCAACTTCTGCATTTTATCATCAGACTTCTAGTCCTACATGTTAATGTCTATAGTTTTGGGTCCAAAGAATCACTGCATTTACTTTATTACACATATCTGGGAATATCATCAAATAATATTCTGTAGAAATACAGTTCAAATCTTAATGGGTGAATACTTCCTTATTTCACACTGGGGATAAAATTCTGTTATGGAGAAGAATTTAGTATTAGGATATTTTGCTGTCTGTATCAATCTTTTGCAGAAAGAAGATCAGGATTGTGAGATTTTTGTCTGGTTGGTCCTAGGTTTATGTGTGTACAGTACGACTTACAAAGAAGATGGAAATATAGATATATATAGTAACCTGTCTGTTGTTAATTGAATCTAAAATTGCTGAATTCTCAAAACCATTTATCACCATTTCTGTCTTCAATTTTTTTATCTGTAATAGGAGAATGGATTTCAGAAGCATTGATCGATGTAGTGGGTCGTGATAAATTTACTTTTCATTATTCCATTGATTTTCTGTAAAAACATCTGTTTCACAAACTGTCAAACAGTCAGGAGTTATGTTTACATTTCCGGAAGCTTTCCTATCTCCGTTTAAACAGAAGAGCAATTTATCTTATCAATACAGAAAGTTATGATATGTATACAGAAATCAACATTGGTAGACTGACAATAGGTAAACACTATGGTAGTAGCTATCCTATCTGTCAATTACTTGATGTTTTCTATAAAGTTCCTATTGCAAATTTTGATAATTTCTAATGTTCATTATCTGCTCTTCTAAAACCAGCACATTCATATCATTCTCCCTGAATTGTCCCAATCTTCAAGTAAAGGGAGGAAACTCTTACTACAAGTGTGACTCAGCATTAGCCATTTGAACAATTTCAATAAAGTCATACTTTAAAGTACATTTATGTTCCAGATGTCATTTTCGACATAATACCACTAGTAACTGAAAAAGTGTTATACAAGCAATCGTTTTGTAGAATGTTATCCCATTACAAATGCATTAGGTTATTATATCAGTGTTAAGCTACACCACAACCAATCATACTCTGATGTCAAATTATGATTTTTTTATGGAAATTCCTAAATGGTTTTTGATTAGCTTTTGTCACCCTTGTAGAAATGGCAGTTATAAAAAACAAGTTTCCGTTCTATCCAGGTAATAGCCGTCACACCATTAAGAGAAACCATTTGTTTAAAATGTATTAACCAAAAGTACAATTTCAGAACGTTGATTTGATTTATTGTGGTTTTAGGTCCTTTGAACAGTCACGGTCATTTTAGGCTTGGGTGTCTGAGGAAATCTGGAGTTCCTGGAGAAAACCACTGACCTTCAAAAAATACCTGGCGACTGCCCCAGTAAGCCTCGAACCTGCACCCAACAGAGGGTGGGCTCGTGATAAAGACAGACCCCTTAACCACTCTGCTACCACTGCTGCCCCAGTAAGCCTCGAACCTGCACCCAACAGAGGGTGGGCTCATGATAAAGACAGACCCCTTAACCACTCTGCTACCACTGCTGCCCCAGTAAGCCTCGAACCTGCACCCAACAGAGGGTGGGCTCGTGATAAAGACAGACCCCTTAACCACTCTGCTACCACTGCTGCCCCAGTAAGCCTCGAACCTGCACCCAAGAGAGGGTGGGCTCGTGATAAAGACAGACCCCTTAACCACTCTGCTACCACTGCTGCCCCAGTAAGCCTCGAACCTGCACCCTGACCTCTTAACCACTCTGCTACCACTGCTGAGAGATAAAGACAGACCCCTTAACCACTCTGCTACCACTGCTGCCCCAGTAAGCCTCGAACCTGCACCCAACAGAGGGTGGGCTCGTGATAAAGACAGACCTCTTAACCACTCTGCTACCACTGCTGCCCCAGTAAGCCTCGAACCTGCACCCAACAGAGGGTGGGCTCGTGATAAAGACAGACCCCCTAACCACTCTGCTACCACTGCTGCCAACTGGTCATATTATTTTTTAATGGAGTTTTATTAACTAATATGTATGATTTCAACATTTACAATAAAAACACAATACCTGGGTACATGAAAAACTACCTTCATGACACATTACTATTGAGTAAATTTGTGTTTGAAATATCATATGTATTATTTTATCAGATAAGGTCTTTGAACTCGATTACAAGTGACAACAAAGTCCTATATTTCAAACAATCCACATTCATCATATATTCATTTCATTATCAATCAGTAATCTGCGATAATGTCTCTAACATGATATACATGGTCATATTCTTTTTTAGTGAGTGAAATGTGCCTTGATTTCAATCTTTGTACCACTTAAACATACATACAATTACACAGTGAATACTGTCTACTCATTTATCCTGTATGACATATTTTAATGTTACAAATAACAAAACTATCTTTTTCTTCAATTAATTCAACATGGATAACATTGTCTTATTGGAAGGATTTGCCGTTTAGGTTACAAATGACAAATACTGTAGAATTCGTGGTTTTCCAAAAATATACATGGTTGTTGACACTTGATTTCTGGGGAAAATATTGCTCACAAAATCCACCTATACTATAATCCATGTAAACTTTTCATCTGTTCCTGGATTTAAGAGTACATACCAATTAAATAAAATAAATCCCCCACAAAAATCAATGGTTTTACAGTATGGAATGATATGACTACTTAAACTCTCCTGAGATCATAAAAAAATGACAAACTGTCAACTGATATAAAAGAAACAACAGATCAAAGAAGTCCCTGAGATGCTGGAAGTACATAATCTCGCAGAAATGCCTGAAGGTCATCTGTGTCAAGGTCAAGCTCCAGAAATTTCTTTACTATGTCCTCACATCTGCAATAAAAAAACGCTCATTGATATTAGGGTTATACCTGGCTGTTTATATGGTAGAAGTAGGACAAGTATTTTTTTATAGAGTGAGGGTTGAGAATTTCAGCCAAGTCACTGTGGACAGCAATGTTGGTATCTATCTTTTCCTGGGTTATTAGAGGGAGGCAACTCCTACTAAAATTGCAAATTTTGAACTGCAGATTGTGAAAAAAATTCTCGTAAAATACATTCACAAGGAACTAAATTAGGATATGGACTGCAATCTGAAACATGAGCGACAGAAAAACCATTAAAGAAGTTATGTCCACTGTTGTTCAGACTGATTTATCTAACTGATGATTAATGTTGTTTGACTTCCAATTAAGATCACGTAATTGTGATATTCTATCATCTTGCATGAAATTTTCGATAGTTTAACTATCAATTCATTGGTCCTTATCAACATTAAATTTCAATGTTGAAATCTGTCACAGCACTTATAACATCATCACTTCTGTAAAAAGCTTTCTCAGTTTCTTTTCTTTTCTGTGTTTAAGATGTTATCTAAGTCACTGAGGCATGAATTGCATTTTGCAGAATCTTGCTATTTGCATCACTCAGGTAAGTACAAATCCAGTACAACTTAAAGAGTACCAATCTTCTTAACCAGACAAACTGAGAATTTGGCAAGGAACAAAAAGAGGTATTTTGCGAAGAGAAACCTTCAACGATCCCAAGTTTGGTTGCCTGTTACAACCTTGCAATGGGGTTAACAGGTGCAATGTCCTACCTGAAGGGACTTGCCTCTCATAAGTGGTTATATCACAGGGAGGTGGTGGGGAATGTATATCACATGAAGGTGGTGGGGAATGTATATCACATGGAGGTGGTGGGGAATGTATATCACATGGAGTTGGTAGGGAATGTATATCACATGGAGGTGGTGGGGAATGTATATCACATGGAGGTGTAAGGGGAATGTATATCACATGGAGGTGGTGGGGAATGTATATCACATGGAGTTGGTGGGGAATGTATATCACATGGAGGTGGTGGGGAATGTATATCACATGGAGGTGGTGGGGAATGTATATCACAGGGAGGTGGTGGGGAATGTATATCACATGGAATACATATCACATGGAGGTGGTGGGGAATGCATATCACATGGAGGTGGTGGGGAATGCAAATCACATGGAGGTGGTGGGGAATGTATATCACATGGAGGTGGTGGGGAATGTATATCACATGGAGGTGGTGGGGAATGTATATCACATGGAGGTGGTGGGGAATGTATATCACATGGAGGTGGTGGGGAATGTATATCACATGGAGGTGGTGGGGAATGTATATCACATGGAGGTGGTGGGGAAAGCATATTTTTAATGTTTTTGATTTTGCTTTATTCGGCAGCAACTGAAAATAGCTGTATTTTGCCAAATGCATGAATTTGACAAAATCAATTTATTTAACAACATAAATAACTGTTGAAATAAGTGATTTCATATGCTGTAATGAACAAGTTTATTTACGAAAATTCATAAAATCGCTGTCATATCTGTAGAAGTTTGGAACTATATTTTTGTGCAGAACAAAGGTTAAGAAATGGAATAAAAACCTCTTGAAGTTCTGATGATCTGATTTGCAGCCAAGTTTGCAGGATTAATAGAATACATGGCCAGTGTCTAAAAACATTAGCTACATTTTGGCTCGGGACAGAAAGATAAAAGTGGCTTGCCAGAAGCTCGCAACTTTTGTCTTTCTTCACCCTCACCAAAATACAGCTGATATTTCATGGCACTGACCATGTTTACTCTATATACAACTATGGCCTTGCTTAACCATTACAGCTCTGAACATGACTGACCTTTTATACTGGACATCTACACCTGGACTGTCCACTCTGTGTACAGGTTTGTTGTCTTTGATCAGCTCACACACCTACAGACAGGAAGAAACAACATCAAATGATTGTGTCAAATACACATATCCCTGAAATGTTCAGAATGAAAGGAATAAGTAAACATGTAAACAAAAGGCATACAGGACTTGTAATTATTACTTCATGTGTTTGGTTAGGTCAAAAGTGTTTCATCCAAACATAAGGAAATGGAAGTTTTACCTCTTTTTACCCTGTTGGGCTCTGTCACACTGCACCCAGAATTGGTTCCGACCTTTGGCTTATGTAAAATTGAATCATGCCTACCCAATTATGCTTGGGATCAAATTTGGTCAAAATCCTTTCAATTTCATCTTTATTGGAGAGGAACATTAGAGATTTATGCGGACTTCTCCTAATGAGCCCTTCCTTTTGCTCCCAGGTGGTCAGACCTTGGTTTACACAAAAATGAATGCTATCTTTTCAATGATACTTCAGACTAAGTTTGGTAAAAATCCCAACAGAAGAAAGTTTTCTTCAGACTTACCTATGTTTTACCAATTGGACCCTGCCCCTCTGCCCTTGGGTGGTCAGACCTTTGGATGATACAAATTTTTTCCTGTTCTACCTATTATCAGTTTAACTAATATTAGTCAAAAACCCGTCATTCCTACAGAAGGTAAAGATGTGAAAAACGGACCAAGGGGAATCTACATATGAAACTGAAGAAATATACATCCAGTACTTTTCAAGAAATAGGTGATAAACATGTATCAAGAATTGTCTCAGGACAGATGACAGACTTATCTGATGATGGTGGGTTGTAAAATCCAATCTGGTATTCTGAACAAGAGCATTTTTGAGGAAAAGTTGATGGATGTTGACCATGGTGTAACATCAATGGTCCCTGGGACCAGGTGAGCAGACAATTGAACCTTTACGATATCAAATTTGATATCAAACTTCCTCTGTCAATTTATTATTCTTTAGTCACAGCTTTACCTCCACACCTCGTTTGACAATCTCCTCTGGTAACCCAGACTGGCTGGCGATATAGCTGGCATAACTTGAGCTAGTGTGACCCTCTTTGAGTTGATAGAGGAACAGTAACTCTTCTTCATCATGTATAGTATCCATGGTCTACAAACAATAACTTTTTAGGTTACAACAATACTGTAACATTTAAATTAAAGGAGGCTGCAAATTATATTTTAAAATTGACATTTATTTTCTTGCTAGAGGCATAACCCACCTTCATGGTACTTCCTGTAAGGAGCATGTCCCTCCTCTATATACTTCCTGTTAGTGACATGATCATAATACATGGTACTCTCTGTAGGGGACATGTCCCTCCTTTGTGTACTTCCTGTAAGGGACATGTCCCTCTTTTGTGTACTTCCTGTAAGGGACATTTCCCTCCTTTGTGTACTTCCTGTAAGGGACATGTCACTCCTATGTGTACTTCCAGTAAGGGACATGTCCATCCTATGTGTACTTCCTGTAAGGGACATGTCCCTCCTGTGTACACTTCTTTGTAAAGACAGATTATTCTCACATGTTCTTTATATTAGAGGTGTGTCCTTTCACTTATGAGGTACTAGATGTTCAGACCACATCATTCCAATTCTCCTGGTACTAGATGTTCAGACCAATCATTCTAATTCTCCTGGTACTAGATGTATGGAACATAACCCTCCCACTTAACAAATATTTGATGTTAGGGAGCCAATCTTTTCATTTACATGATGCTAGATATTAGTGACATGCATCTCCCAGCTAGTTGATGTTAGGAACACAGCCCTCCAACTTACCAGGTACTTGATGTTTGGGGAGAGTGGCAGTAGGTGTTGGTGGACCATGCTATGGAAATGGGTTGACACAACCACATGGGGACATGCTCCCTTCATGTCATCCCAGTACATAATACTTGCACACAGCAGTGATAGCCCATCAGTCTGGAGAAAAGAACAATTATAAGTTAGTATCAATCATCATCAAATCAACCATGAATTTACAATCTACAACACTGAACCAGATCTGACTGAATCAACTGATAAACAGTATGATTTACAATCTACAACATTGAACCACATCTGACTGAATCAACTGATAAACAGTATGATTTACAATCTACAACATTGAACCAGATCTGACTGAATCAACTGATAAACAGTATGATTTACAATCTACAACATTGAACCAGATCTGACTGAATCAACTGATAAACAGTATGATTTACAATCTACAACATTGAACCAGATCTGACTGAATCAACTGATAAACAGTATAAGCCAATCAAAAGCCCCATGAGATAGAAAACCTCTGAAAACGTATGGTATACTGTTTAGAACTACTGTTACTGTAAAACAGTTCTGTATCGATAAAATGGCCCCAGTTTCCCTAAGGGACATTTAAGTTAGAATTTTCAATATTCATTCAGATTTGTCATGAAACAGACTAAAGGTATTTGATTAACTTTAATAAACAATGGTTAACTTTGAGATACCAGGTAAAGTAATACTGACCATGCAAGTACCTTTGCCGAACTCATCCACTAAAACCAGTGACTTATCTGTGGCATTCCGCAAACTCTCTGTCATCTGAAGTACAATGTATTGAAAATGAAAGTAAAAAGTTATTTTCTAGGGATTTTTTTTTATTCCTGCCAGCCAAAATCTGAAAATAAGAGGGTTACCTCCCCTTAATATGAACATTTTATTTGTGATGAATTCCAGATGTTGATGACAATACCTGATTGATGTCAATCATGAAGGTGGAAAGACCAACTGACACACTTTCCAGAGAGTGTATACGTGTAAAGATCCTGTCAAACATTCCAATAGAAGCCTGCTCTGCTGGGACAAAGCTGCCAATGTGGGCCAGATATACAATCATTCCCACCTGCAACCAACCATAGAAGTATTTAATATATGATAGAAACAGATAACATTGATATCATACATAGAGACAAAGCTGGAGAGGAACTTTAGAGTGGTCAGGTGGCATAGCAGTAAAACACTTGATGTCTGGGGTTTGATTCCCTAATTGGATGTTAAAAGGTATAGGTCACCTTCCTGACCATATGGACGTTCTCCAGGTAGTCTGGAATCCTACAATAATGAAACCCCCTGCAAGCTTCAATCCAAACCAGAGTAAAAATATTACATATTAGCTTATCTGCAAATGTTTTCATTAAATTAAGTACATAGATTTACAGATTTCATGGTTTTTTGGAAAGTAGGAAAGAAACAGTTTTGTTTTCATAAAAAGGAAATATCAAAATTTAAAAAAAAAAAAAAATTTGTCTGACAGAGTTATTCACCTGTCTGAGGTAAACGCTCTTTCCAGAAGCATTAGGTCCTGTTAGGATTTTGATCTTGCCATTCCTTTCATCGCTCAGGATATCATTAGGAACAAAAGGACTGCAGCAGAGTTCCTGGAGTGGGTGTCTGTAACAACTATCACCTATATCTAACATGCACAGCTCAAAACCTTGCCTCATTGTTATACACAACATCTCTTCATTGTTATACAAAACATCTCTTCATTGTTATACACAACATCTCTTCACTGCTATACACAACATCTCTTCACTGTTATACACAACATCTCTTCATTGTTATATACAACATCTCTTCATTGTTGTACACAACATTGCCTCATTTATATACACAACATCCCTTCATTGTTATACACAACATCTCTTCATTGTTATACACTATATGTCTGTATAGCATGTATCACTTATACTATATTGTGTAACAGAAGTCATTTCTTATAACCCCTGAAAACATAAGCTATGGCTAACTAGTCATGTGCTCAACTCATCAATCTAAAGAGAAGATCTCTCTTGTGAAGCTGTTTATTGTAACTACTATTTCACCTATGTGACATCCGCAATACCTTTTCCAAAATATCTTGTTCTCAGGTTTCCAGGATTACAGTGATGCATATGAAAGTAACTTTAAGTATCATTTCAAAGTTTTTCATGGACATCAATATAACAGAGGTTATTATCTATTTCAATGTCCTAGCAAGGATTTGAACCCAGACTCTCTGACATACTGGTCTTACTCTAAGTTGACCAAGCTGAGGAGATCTCTTTAGCCAAATGGTATAGTGTATATTTCTGTGTTATAACTGTATAATTGTCAGTCATATATTATATTTAATAACTTGCTGATGTCATTTAAAAAATAAATAGATACTAGTACATACTCCAAAGCTGTTTCCCTTTAAATAAACTGATTTGGAAAAGTTCAGAGACTTTCAGAGATGACCACCAATACTATGTAAACACTAACAAGGAAGAACAGACAAGTAACAAAGGCATGAAGCCAAACGAAAACGCCCTGATACACTAACAGACAAGTAACAAAGGCATGAAGCCAAACGAAAACGCCCTGATACACTACAACGTCCTGATACACCACAACGTCCTGATACACTAAAACGTCCTGATACACTAACAGACAAGTAACAAAGGCATGAAGCCAAACGAAAACGCCCTGATACACCACAACGTCCTGATACACTACAACGTCCTGATACACTACAACGTCCTGATACACTAACAGACAAGTAACAAAGGCATGAAGCCAAACGAAAACGCCCTGATACACCACAACGTCCTGATACACTACAACGTCCTGATACACTACAACGTCCTGATACACTACAACGTCCTGATACACTACAACGTCCTGATACACTACAATGTCCTGATACACTAACAGACAAGTAACAAAGGCATGAAGCCAAACAAAAACGCCCTGATACACTACAACGTCCTGATACACCACAACGTCCTGATACACCACGATACACCACAACGTCCTGATACACTACAACGTCCTGATACACTAACAGACAAGTAACAAAGGCATGAAGCCAAACGAAAACGCCCTGATACACTACAACGTCCTGATACACCACAACGTCCTGATACACCACAACGCCCTGATACACCACAACGTCCTGATACACTAAAATGTCCTGATGCAATGAAACATCCTGATGCAATAAAACATCCTGATGCACTAGAGAGTGATGTCCAGAGAAACAAAACACAGTCTTACCTTCCTCCTTTGATATCAATGACAGCTTCACCAACTAGAGTGGGCCTCACATAGCTGTAATCTCGTGCACACTGGGCCAGAGTTGTCAAACTGTAAGGCAACACCGTCACTTACCATAACATTTAGAACAAGTTACCGGTATCTGAGTTTTATTTCTATCTTTTTGTGAAGGTGGTGTTAGAAAAAACCTATTTAACGTAAAATCTGATAGAGTTTTTCAGTCCTCTTCATTAAATTGTTACTTCCTTGTAATACAGTACATATTAGTGATAATGCCAGTAGCCCGACGAGTGAAAGAAATCAGCAATGCCACGATTTAGTTTTTAAAGGAAATCTCAGCTTTATATACTGTGCATCAGAGGAACGAAGAAGCATGATATTGTTGTAACGATATACAGAGTCCTCAACAGTGAATCCAAGTAAAAATGATTACCAATCAAGTTCAGCACAAAGATCCATAACATCGACGAGGACTCGAGAGTGTTCTAGGATGGTGTTCTGTAACTTGTGCATGATGCTGTTCTCCTGATCTGTAAATATACAACGACTATCCTTAGAAAATTCCCATGACACCTTGATTTAAAATCAGATGAAAACCATTTCAGAGAAAGACAACGCAATCCTGTTCAAGAAAATGTATTTACGAAATCAATCATAGTTTGGCAGTTGTCTGTTTTAGAAAAAAATACATGTATTACGTTAGTGAAATAATGAAGTATAATGGTGGCTTTTTTTTTATAAGTGCATAATTTTCACTTATCGATAAGATTCATCAATTTTATAGCAAAGATTGCACTTGCGAATTTTAACTATGAAAATGTATTTTTAGTTCATGCTACTTAATGACACTGCTAAGTAAGATATTCCTGTTTTGACACCAAAGAGCAAAATCTGAATGTGGTGAAATGTAGGAGAACTTACCTGTTATTTCACACTGTGTATCCCCCAAAAGTCGGTCCAACTCTGTAAACACAGGCAACACAAAATGATGAATACAAACTGAAACATCAGAAAATGATTTGAAGATAATTAATATAATACAGAATATTGGTTGGTACTTATTTAGTGACCAACAGTTCATATGTATTTTTTTGTAATGTTCAATAAATAGAGAAATGGATATATTCTTTTTTATCTTTATGACTTTGATGAATACTATCATCCATCAATATCAAGAACTACAAATCAATAAATAAATAGCTATTCAATGAAATTTCTTTCTACATTTTTGTAGACGCTCTAGCTTGGATACATGCACAAAATATTATGTTTCTATAAATTGTTTTCCTAAATTATTGCATGTACTTTTGAGAATTTGGGTTTCTTTAAAAACTCTTTCAAACACAACTTGTTGTAATGTTCATTATATGGTGGCATGCACGCTTATCAGCAAAGATATCATTTATCAATTTAGATGTGAAATGGAAAATAACCCCAGAGATTTTTTTATCTCATAGATACTGTAAATGAGAGTTAATAAATGATTGATTTTAAATCAAACTAAAATAAAACTTTAAAAAAACCAATCCAAAAATGATCTTTCATCAAATTTTTTGAACATTTTAAAAACAAGTTGTACCATAACATGAATCACATGCATGTTAAAAATCATACCTCTGGTGCTAGCACTTTTATAGTGCAGCATACTGTTAGATAGAAACTGTAAGCAAGAAAATTGACATTCTTAGTTTTTCTATAGAGTTATCTCCCTTCCACTACAGCAAAACAAACAGTAGGAAAGGAAAAATGGATCAGGGAGTTAGAACACAGATATTCAAACTGCTTCAGAGCTTCTGTAAATTATCATGCTGAGAAACCCATACATCAGATGCACTTAAACATTATGTTATCAATAATATATTTTGATCACTTGTATTGATCACAGACCATAAACTCCAGTCCTGGGATGACAAAATCAGCTTCAGTTTGCATACGGTCCATCTTCGGGATAGCTAACAGGTACCCAAGCTGTAATTAGAGGCAGTGAACATCAAAAGATCTGTGCTATGTATGGCATCATCCTTCAGCATATTCTAATCATAGTTGTGAATAGTGAATAATCACTTGGTATACATTATAACATGTTTTTATTGAAAGAATAAGCTTGTTGGGGGCATGATTGCTCAATTGATGAAAACAGACTGCTCTGTACATTGTTGGAAACTACAAACAAGATGCTTGAATGTTTACACTTGCTTTGCAGCTCTTGACAGTATGTAGCAGACAGCCTGTAAGCTGTTCAGTAGTCACCGGCTACTACCATGGGACCCAAAAATGACCCTGGCTAATGAGAGGGTAACAATCTTATGAGCATAACTAACTAATAGGGGCAAGTATACATAAATACAATTGTAGTATTTATATCAATTATACATAGGAAAATTTCACTGTAAGTAGTGAATGGTGTTTCACCTCTGACTGGTAGTCACCTGAGAATGGTTATTTTGTACCTAGACTCAAGTAAAAAGTATATGACATTTATTTACAACAAGTAATCTGAGATAAGTCAAAGACATAACATCTTACAGATGGGTAAACTTACCTGAGGTAGGTAGGTAGTATTACATCTGTTTGTAATTACAGACAGGTAAACCTACCTGAGGTAGGTAGATAACATTACATTCTGTATGTAATCACAGACAGGTAAACCTACCTCAGGTAGGTAGATTACATTACATCTATTTGTAATTACAGACAGGTAAACTTACCAGAGGTAGGTAGATTACATTACATCTGTATGTAATTACAGACAGGTAAACTTACCTGAGGTAGGTAGATTACATTACATTTGTATGTAATTACAGACAGGTAAACTTACCTGAGGTAGGTAGATTACATTACATCTGTATGTAATTACAGACAGGTAAACCTACCTGAGGTAGGTAATTTACATTACATCTGTTTGTAATTACAGACAGGTAAACTTACCTGAGGTAGGTAGATAACATAACATTCTGTATGTTATTACAGACAGGTAAACCTACCTGAGGTAGGTAGATTACATTACATCTGTATGTAATTACAGACAGGTAAACTTACCTGAGGTAGGTAGATTACATTACATCTGCATGTAATCACAGACAGGTAAACCTACCTGAGGTAGGTAGATTACATTACATCTGTATGTAATTACAGACAGGTTAACTTACCTGAGGTAGGTAGATTACATTACATCTGTATGTAATTACAGACAGGTTAACTTACCTGAGGTAGGTAGATTACATTACATTCTGTAATTTCATCACTGAGCCTCTTGAGCTCCTCTTTGGCCACTTTGGTCATAAAATCTGGGAGGCCATTGTATGTTCTCTTTCCTGGTAAAAAACATCAGAACACAAATAAATCACAACATCTACAGTTACCTTCATTGGATTAAAAATTAACTGGTAATCTTACTTAAACTATTATCTTCTTCTTTTGAGCATTGATGAAACAGATGGAGGTGTTTTAATAACTGTTGTTTAACAAAATATGTTGAAATTCAGGATCATCAACACCACTGAATAACAGTTGTTTACTTGGTTCAAGAGTTATTGACATGTTTTGACCATAAGGTGATCGTCATGAGGACAACATTCACTCAAGTGATATTTATTGGGTATATTTAGACATATTTCCAGTACAATAATACTGTATGGATATTACTCCACTCATCATTTCATGAAGACATACGTTCGTCCAGTTCAGAGTCCACTCCACACTTGACCACAAATCTACCTTGACTATTGCTCTCCTCAAAGTCAACCTACAAACATAGCAGTAATTATTCACGTTAGACATTACAACCTCTGTGAAGTGAACTGATACTAAGTACTGACTAACATATTGACAAGCCTACTTACACCAGGTAATTATACCCCAAATTTAGTTGTCAGAAAGTATTTTTATAAAGAAGCTCCCAATAAAAAGGTGCTTTTTATACATACATTTTGATGATCTTACATGATAAGATCAATACCAAAGTATAAGTATGTGAAGCCATATCAAATAGTCACAAGCAAGACTGAAAGCACCACAACAATACACCAACATCTGTAATACTGAGGTTATTGAATTTATCTTGAAAAAAATTAATAAAAATAAGGAAATGAAAATAACTCTCAATTGTTCATGGATGAAATCACTCTATGACAACCCTAAAAAAACTCACAAATATCCTCAACATACTATTAGTCTGCATCATAACAACATAGCTTACAGTTCAGGTTATCTAGAGTATATATGTAGTGAGAAATTACATCAGTTGTCTCCCTTAGACAAACTAGATCTTGATATGTGTTGTATGATGGAAACAGAATTCTCAAGAATCAAAGATACCATTCAATAAAAGATGCATTCACGTGTAAAAATGCCAGTGAAAAACAGAAAACTACTGTATAATATCTTCACTGGAGACAAAAGTTTCTAAAGTGTGTTTCAACATCAAAATCAACATCTGTGAGTTTATTTGAATCATCTTACATAATTACATTGCATGATCTTAAAAAATCTGTTACATAAAAAAATGGGATTTAAAAATGACCTAATGGTGACAAAACACCCAGTTGTTGACATGAGTTGAGTTAGTTACAACCAATAATAACATATTTGTTAAACCTGAAGAAAAAAAAAACTTTAATTATAAAAATTATAATTGATTATCCCATTAGACAAGGTTAACAATTAGATAATTGAATTAATTTGTTCATTGTCCTATCTAATTGCAGTACTAATGGTTTGTGTAGCTTGAACATCATTAAGGTGAAAGCTTAATACTAATGTCAAAGTATGTCAGGAAGAAACCAGCATTCCTCCATGAAACTCTGGCTCCATAACTCATCACAGGTCTGTTGGACCACTCTCTACAAATCACCATACCTCCAGGAAACTCTGGCCCCCACCACAGACCTGTTGGACCACTCTCTACAAATCACCATACCTCCAGGAAACTCTGGCCCCCACCACAGGCCTGTTGGAGCAATCTCTACAAATCACCATACCTCCTGGAAACTCTGGTCCCATCAATGGACTTTTGGACCAGTCTCTACAAATCACCATACCTCAAGGAAACTCTGGTCCCATTAAAGACCTGTTGGACCAGTCTCTACAAACCACCATGCCTCCTGGAATCTCTGGTCCCATTAAAGACCTGTTGGACCAGTCTCTACAAATCGCCATGCCTCCTGGAAACTCTGGCCCCACCACAGACCTGTTGGACCAGTCTCTACAAATCACCATACCTCCTGGAAACTCTGGTCCCATTAAAGACCTGTTGGACCAGTCTCTACAAATCACCATACCTCAAGGAAACTCTGGTCCCATTAAAGACCTGTTGGACCAGTCTCTACAAATCACCATACCTCCTGGAAACTCTGGTCCCATTAAAGACCTGTTGGACCAGTCTCTACAAATCACCATACCTCAAGGAAACTCTGGCCCCCACCACAGACCTGTTGGACCAGTCTCTACAAATCACCATACCTCAAGGAAACTCTGGTCCCATTAAAGACCTGTTGGACCAGTCTCTACAAACCACCATACCTCCTGGAAACTCTGGTCCCATTAAAGACCTGTTGGACCAGTCTCTACAAATCACCATGCCTCAAGGAAACTCTGGTCCCATTAAAGACCTGTTGGACCAGTCTCTACAAATCACCATACCTCCTGGAAACTCTGGCCCCCACCACAGACCTGTTGGACCAGTCTCTACAAATCACCATACCTCCAGGAAACTCTGGTCCCATCAATGGACTGTTGGACCAGTCTCTACAAATCACCATACCTCCAGGAAACTCTGGTCCCATCAATGGACTGTTGGACCAGTCTCTACAAATCACCATACCTCCTGGAAACTCTGGTCCCATTAAAGACCTGTTGGACCAGTCTCTACAAATCACCATACCTCAAGGAAACTCTGGTCCCATTAAAGACCTGTTGGACCAGTCTCTACAAATCACCATACCTCAAGGAAACTCTGGTCCCATTAAAGACCTGTTGGACAAGTCTCTACAAACCACCATACCTCCTGGAAACTCTGGTCCCATTAAAGACCTGTTGGACCAGTCTCTACAAATCACCATGCCTCAAGGAAACTCTGGTCCCATTAAAGACCTGTTGGACCAGTCTCTACAAATCACCATACCTCCTGGAAACTCTGGTCCCATTAAAGACCTGTTGGACCAGTCTCTACAAATCACCATGCCTCAAGGAAACTCTGGTCCCATCAATGGACTGTTGGACCAGTCTCTACAAATCACCATACCTCCTGGAAACTCTGGTCCCATTAAAGACCTGTTGGACCAGTCTCTACAAATCACCATACCTCCTGGAAACTCTAACACAGACCAGTTTGACCACTGCAGTTGATTTGGCAGCTTCCTTAATGGTATTCCATGTGATGATATTTAAATGTAGACATTGTAAAGATTTCCAGACAAGGATGAAGTAAATGTGTTATGAAAGGTTAAGTAAAATGATATAAAACATAATTTATGGGTTAAAGATTGTAACCACAAAATGGAACACTTGAACATACAGAGGGAAAATATTGTCATACTCTTTACTATGTACACATTAATAGTACTGGTATGTACTATACAGAGTGGGTCTGACTCAGAAAACACTGTGCATCACATTGAAACATGTTTTCTGTTCTCACACACTAAGTCACACCAGTTCATTTTTTCTGATACTTGGTAGTATAGAAGACATTGCATTTGCCTTTCACTACCACAGCTTGGGTAAGATTACAAGGAATAATGTAGACAAATTGTAGACCAGAAAAGGCTAGTATTCCCCAAGTGGTATGTTTTCCCTTCTGAATATCAACTAATTCCCCATTAGGAAAATATACCGAAAACTTGGGGAAATTTCCCCAAAACAGAGAAAACTTTCCCCAAAACAGAGCTAATTAATATATTTTTACTTAATGTTTTCAAATCATGCAAATAAAAAAAAAATATCAATCTAACCTCAACATTATCATACTTTATTTATGTAATCTTCTCCTTGTCATATCATTTTACCCTATCCCTAATTGAATTATGACAAAAGGGCTGTCTTTAATTCTTCCATTTCTCAAAATAACCATCAATTCCCTTGATTCTAGATTAATCCATGCCAGTTTGGTTTCAATACATGAATTAGATTTGGATACACTAGCTTGATTTGGATACAACTTGGATACAACATTTGGATACAACAACATACAACGGTCTGATTTGGATACAACAGTCTGATACAACAGTCTGATACAACAGTCTGATACAACAGAATGATTTGGATACAACAGTCTGATACAACAGAATGATTTGGATACAACAGTCTGATACAACAGTATGATTTGGATACAACAGTCTGATACAACAGAATGATTTGGATACAACAGTCTGATTTGGATACAACAGTCTGATTTGGATACAACAGTATGATTTGGATACAACAGTCTGATACAACAGTGTGATTGGATACAACAGTTTGATACAACAGTATGATTTGGATACAACAGTTTGACTTGGATAGACCAGTCTGATTTGGATACAACAGTTTGATACAACAGTATGATTTGGATACAACAGTCTGATTTGGATACAACAGTCTGATTTGGATACAACAGTCTGATTTGGATACAACAGTATGATTGGATACAACGGATACAACAGTCTGATTTGGATACAACAGTCTGATTTGGATACAACAGTCTGATTTGGATACAACAGAATGATTTGGACACGGATACAACAGTCTGATTTGGATTCAACAGTCTGATTTGGACACGGATACAACAGTCTGATTTGGATACAACAGTCTGATTTGGATACAACAGTGATACAACAGTATGATTTGATACAATTTGGATACAACAGTCTGAGATACAACAGTCTGATTTGGATACAACAGTATGATTTGGATACAACAGTCTGATTTGGATACAACAGTATGATTTGGATACAACAGTCTGATTTGGATAGACCAGTTTGATTTGGATACAACAGTATGATTTGGATACAACAGTCTGATTTGGATACAACAGTCTGATTTGGATACAACAGTCTGATTTGGATACAACAGTACAACGGTCTGATGTGGATACAACAGTTTGATTTGGATACAACAGTCTGATTTGGATACAACAGTCTGATTTGGATACAACAGTATGATTTGGATACAACAGTATGATTTGGATACAACAGTATGATTTGGATACAACATTATGATTTGAATACAACAGTATGATTTGGATACAACAGTATGATTTGGATACAACAGTCTGATTTGGATACAACAGTATGATTTGGATACAACAGTCTGATTTGGATACAACAGTCTGATACAACAGTATGATTTGGATACAACAGTCTGATTTGATACAACAGTCTGATGTGGATATGATTTGGATACAACAGTATGATTTGGATACAACAGTATGATTTGAATACAACAGTATGATTTGGATACAACAGTTTGATACAACATTATGATTTGAATACAACAGTATGATTTGGATACAACAGTTTGACTTGGATACAACAGTATGATTTGGATACAACAGTCTGATTTGGATACAACAGTATGATTTGGTATGATTTGGATACAACAGTCTGATTTGGATACAACAGTCTGATACAACAGTATGATTTGGATACAACAGTCTGATTTGGATACAACAGTCTGATTTGGATACAACAGTCTGATACAACAGTCTGATTTGGATACAACAGTATGATTTGGATACAACAGTCTGATTTGGATACAACAGTATGATTT